TCCATTAGTGAGCTCTATGAGGGATGGTTCTGTGTCTTTTGTATAGACTGCTATAATTTCGGGATGTCATGTTATGATTGGCACACAGTAGGAAACAAATATATTGTTGAATTAAAAAAAAAGGTACCACCAAAGTCACTGCCATCCTAATATGTGAATTTAACTAAGATTCCATTGGCAGTGTTCCCATATATTTGTGGTTGAAAGAAAACTGATTTCAGAATGACAATTAGCTATATGTTACTTGGTTAGGGACCAACCAGTGATAAATTGCTCAGTGGTTACCAGGCTCTCATATCCTTAGGGGAAGATATGATCTTGAAAAACTGGATTGTATATGGGCAATAATTTCCACCTATTATTATTAAATGAACTGTGCTCTTTTTAATATGTTACTCATCATAAGTAGGCTTTTATAAAACAAGCATGTTATCACAGAAATAATCAAATAATAACTCACATTTTATCCATGTAAGTACTTATAGTATTGAAAAACAGAAGGATAATTTGTCTTGAGGATTAGCTGTCCTTGTTTAGAAACATCTCTGATGGAGAAAAAGAGTTGCTGGCAGAGTCCAAGTGAAGAGGGGGAAAATGAAGGGGGGATTAAATTCCTTTGCGTCAGAAATGTATGGAATCTTTTTTTTTGCTTCTATAGTGATCTCTCCAAAATGAAAAGGGATGAGAGGAAAGGAAGGAAAAACAATCAAAAAGTGTTGTAAAAACATACATTATTTGAGCAGACATGACAAGTGAATAATTTACCAGTGGACACTTGGGGGAGGAAAAAAACTACTTTCAGAACAATGAATGCTATCAGTTAGTCTTAAATAGATTCTATTTGAGGCATATTGATTGTTACCATTTCCAAAATTGTTCAGTAAATTATTTAGCACACACAAATACCTCATAAAATTATGTGTGGTTTCATGAAGTTTTACATCCAAGTGTGTACAGAATGGAAAGTACAGGTAGGATATGGACTTAATCCATGAAATTTATTAATCTGTTGAAGTGAAGCTTTGAGTCAGAAATAATTATGATGATGTAAGCCATAAATGTATGTACCCTAATCCTGAGGCAGAGGTGAGTGGGTATATATTGTCATTAAATTTCTGCACACTGTACAATGTAGATTTGAGTTAATATCATAGATAACTTAAGGACAAAGTGACAATAGTTAAGAGCTAAACTAATATAAAATTAAAACAAAATTCCAAAACAAAAACAACCACAAAAGTGATTCCATATGGGAACATGCTAAAAAGAAGTATTTCCATGTATTTATTTGTAGGTAATATACATAAATATTTTTTCACATCCTATACAATCTCAGGCAAAACTGAAGAACTTGAAGAAAGCATAGTGCATAGATATAGTATATTATTAGTTATCATTTACGGTAATTCTATATTGTAACATATAGTCCCTGATAATCCAATTTCATGTTTACCCATTAAAAATTTGTTTTTTCATAGATAATAGAATGTTTTGGGGATGCAGACTTGATTGAAGAATGTAAAATGATGAACTGCATATTGAAATCACCATGTTAGGTGATATGAGCTTTAAAATTTTACCAGCTTTGAACTTATAACTCCACCATTAAATATGATTTTCAACACAATCAACTAAAATTTGTTCAATACTCTAATTTGTTATGTGCTTAAGCACTTCAGGAATACAATTTATTATAATATATATATATTATATTCTATAATATATTCTATTTTAACAGCCATTCAGATATATGCCATCTAGTCTCCTCCAAAAATGAAGCAATAATGGAAAAGTCAAAAGCATAATATGTTGATTTCCTTTTAGTGCATAAAAGAATGAGAAAGGAAGAGGAGAGAGGAAGAAAGAAAAAGAGGAAGAGCAGTTCTGAATACTGAACACCAAAGAAGTGAGAGGGTCAGACACATTTTGACTATATCATCTCACCAGTTTCCATTATAAATTAAAATACCACCTTCCAGGTTCACTTTGAAATCATTTGGAATTTTATGCCATCCATTTGTAAGCCTCTGAATGGGTTATTATAAGTCTGAAATGGCAAATAACAATTCATTTTCCATTTTAAAGATTTTATTTAAGAGAGAGAGAGTGGGAGGAGGTGCAAGTGGAGAGGGGGGGAGAGAATCTCAAGCAGACTCCCCACTGAGCACGGAGCCTGAGGTAGCGCTCAATCTTAGAACCCTGAGATCATGACCGGAGCAGAAACCAAGAGTCTGACGCTTAACCTACTGAGCCACCCAGGCACCCCTTCATTTTCCATTTTAAAGCTAGCTAATCTATATTTTGGAGAAAGAAATGGGGGGGCATTTTTTGAACCACAGTATCTTGAATTCAAAATCAAATTAATAACCCTGGATTTACTCACAAGGAGAACATTGCAATGTTTTCCTTGTTGTTTTTAAGTACTTCTTTTCTAACATTCTTTGTCTAGAAAAATAAACAACTCTCTGTGCCACAATGGTGCATGACCTGATTCTTTAAATAGACTGCATCTACAGGATCATTGAACAGTCCCATCAGATCCTCTCTTTAAAGGCAAAATCCCTTGATGAGAGATTCTTGGGACATAACCATCCCCTGAATTCAACAACAGTTTGAAAGCAAGGTAGGGATAAAACTGGCCATTGGCTATACAAGAACCTCTCAGGTTCTCATTGAAATAGCTTGGGATTTCTGTGCCACCCATTTGTATGGATGCTTTATGTGTTTTTAAATTAAGTGCTAATGGGAAGCATTTATTTAAAAAAAAAAAAAAGGCAAATTCATTCACTTCAGTGGTGGAGAAATATAACTTCTAAAATTATAAACAGGGAAAAATACTATCTGTATATTCTTATTTACCTTTTATCTGCTAAAAGGATGAAGAAAAAATAGTTAATGGTAATAAGAGATAAGATTAAACTTTTTTATTAATGTAATTTATTTCCACAGGATAACACTAAAGCAAATAGTTTAGTGGCATTTAAAAAACTGGATTTGATTTAGTGAATGGGAAGAGTACCTGTAGTTATTTTAGCTGGGGCTAAGGCAATTAAAGGCTTTATGTCTGCATACTTCATAACAAAAATTAGATACTTAGCTGGGGAAAACTTATCCTTTTATTCTGGTGGTTTATTATAAGTAAATGTATTCTCTCAAACAACTAGCGTAGCTTTTTTTGAGGTTCAGAAATCCTTCTATCTGGGAATCTGGGGATCCAAAGGTTCCTACCTTGATGAAAATCTTATGACTATTCCTTAAACTACCATAGTGCAACATAATAAAAAGAATTATGATCACTTTAAAGCTGGGTGGCATTCATCAAATGGTAACCCAGGGGTGAAAGGTCCTATATCCCATTTCCAATCCTTTGAACCATCTATTGAACTAATGTATTTTTCTCTTTAAAATGTCCTAAAAGATATAAGATGTCCTCGTGCTTATAGGATTTTTGAAATTTTATTTTAAGGAATCAAAAGAAATTTACTCTGTGAGCAGGTTTTTCAGTTTGGCTTGAGGCCTTTGATTCAGGGAACAAGCAATCTCCTTCCAACTCTCTCCACTGGAGAGATGTCCCCTTTCAACCTATCTCTTGGTCCAATACAAATCAATGAACTCAAGACCCAATATACCATGTCTTAAAAATCCATTTAGAAATCAATTGCTCCATTCAAAGTTCATCTCCTTCCTTTATCAGAAATTGCTGGAAATGTAATTTTGCAGCAAGCATTTCATTTCTTGTCTTGAAATAGATTGAGATAAATGTAAAGTCAATGATTAGATAAATGTAATGTCTTGGGTTGATGCCACAATGCAATATTTGATGGTGTGGTCAGTACTGATGGATGTTTTGTATAGTTATCCAGTTGTATAATGGGACAAATTCCCATGACTCTATTTAAAACACCATGTGGCCCCTCTCAATTAATATTACCAAAAGTATTTTGGCACAAATACAAAAAGCTTCATGGATTAGTGCTGAGCATGCAAGTGCAAGTCATCTTTGCTCTGTACAGATTCTCCTTCATTAATAAACTGTATCTGTGCGCAATTTATTTACTGAGCTGCACTCTATGCAGTAAATAACACAACAAAGATTATTCCTCCTTCAAAAATCACTTCTATGAGATTATAAATAGAAAGCCTGTGCTCGGTAATCTCTGACAGTACAGTTAAGGATTAAAACCTGATGAAGTTAACACATACATGGGCATGCACATAAGCACTACAGCCATAGAAACATTGCTTATGAAAGTCTCTTCATTTTAATGTCAAGAAAACATATTTATCTTCCTTATTTCCTGCTATCAAGATACATATTCAATATGAAAGAGGGGGAAAAGAAAGAGATGACTTTCTTTGAGAAGTAATAAAAAACAGAATATTAGTAATGCCTTTAGAAAATATCTTTTGGAAATGTAGAGGCTAATTTTCTGGCACACTGATACGCAGACTATGTAACACAGGAATGAATCAAATGATACAATAATAAGTATCTTTTTTTAAGTTCCCCTTCCCTTGATGGCTGTTTTTGGTGGTTGACTTCAATGTTACATAGAAACCCATGATTATCAAGAACAATATTCAGGAGCGCCTGGGTGGCTCAGTTGTTAAGCGTTTGCCTTCAGCTCAGGTCATGATCCCAGGGTCCTGGGATCGAGCCCCACATCAGGCTCCCTGCTCTGCGGGGAGCCTGCTTCTTCCTCTCCCACTCCCCCTGCTTGTGTTCCCTCTCTCGCTGTGTCTCTCTCTGTCAAATAAATAAATAAAATCTTTAAAAAAATGAATAAAAAAAAAAACACCTAATAAATAATTGTCAATACACCAACATTTTATTTTCTAGTGTCCTCAGGTCCAGCTCAGGATAATTAGTGATTTAGAAACTTTGTTGTCTCTACTATTGAAGTAAAGTGAAGAATATGTGACCACTATTTGTAACACTTAAAAAAATTTATGACGATTTTTTAATTATTAGTGTTAATATTAACCACAATCCTATAGTAGTACTCACTTCAGTAGCACATATACTAAAATTGGAATGACACAGAGAGGTTTAGCATGTCCCCTGCACAAGGACAACGTGCAAATTTCTGAAGTATTCCACAAATGCATGTGCACATGCGTGCGCACAACACACACAAACAACTATATACTACTTTGGTTCCATATAATGAAAAAATCTTGATACATTTTGAAGTCATATGCTTATGGCCATAACTTACAAATATATATTTTGAAATTTTTGTAATTTTCTAAGTTTTAAATCGTTCTTTGTAATTTTTTTTAAAAATTCTCCATAAATATTTGCTTCTTCTCTGTATTGGTGGAATTTTGTAATCACACAATTCTGTATTTTAGCATGTTTTCTTTTTTCTCTTTGACATCTTTTCTTCTTATTTCTATTTCTGGTGTTACAAAATTGCATGATAAAGTATACTTTAGCTGAGACTTTTAATTCATTGGACTGGTACTTGGTGACTGCCTTTTCCTTTCTTGGGACTCTCAAGAATTATTTGTTAATTTTCTCCCATTCCATTTTTCTCTGGTATCTTAGAACTTCTATTAGAAAATATTTAAACATCTGGATCTTTTCTCCACTATTTTTCATCTCTGCCTTCTTCCTCTTTTCAAATTTCCCTTACTTTATCTTCTAAATTTCCCTTACTTTATCTTCTAAATTTTCTAGAATTTTTTTTTTTTCCAAATAGCCTCCAAGTCTATTGTTTTGGATGCAATAAACACCTTCCCTTTTCTTCTTGAGGGTATGAGTTATGGGTTTCTTGCCCTTTTGTTTTCTTCTCCTTTGCATTCCCTTTTTCTTCTGGGTTTTTTGTTTCATTTTGTTTTTGCTTTGCTTATTTTTCTTATTTTTTTTTTTTAAGATTTTATTTCTTTATTTGACAGAGAGAGGGAGCACAAGCAGGGGAGGAGCAGCAGGCAGAGAGAGAAGCAGGCTCCCCGCTGAGCAGGGAGCCCGATGTGAGGCTCGATCCCAAGACCCCGGAATCATGACCTGAGCCCAAGGCAGACGCTTAACCAACTGAGCCACCCAGGCGCCCTCTTCTCTGCTTTTCTTGGTAGAGGTTTCACTAATTGCGGCAGTGAAACAAGTTTCGCTCACAGGACTTGCAATTACCAAAGCTTAAGAATCTACAGGTTATTGCAAAACAAACAAAACAAAATGGCAGCAGCATTGAAGTAGGAGCTTCATCTCAAAGTCCGCCTCACAGCGCAGATCAGAAGCCACGAGCTAGCTCTTACTGTCCTCCATCTGCAGGGCTGTAGTGGATGTACTTTCCCTCAAATCACAAACCACCAAGATAGGTACAGAGTACCTCAGACCAGGGAACCTAATGTAAGCATAGTATTGTGAAGTAACCAGCCCCAGTGGCAGAGTCGGGGTGGGGGGAAGGTCACCTAAACCAGGTGTAAACATCACCTCGCTGTTACCAAACAATTCTCATAAGCCGGTAGAAACCAGCAGAGACTCACCTTGGCCCCGTGACTGAAAAGCAACGCTATGAATCAGTACCAGTCATGCCTTGTCTGGAGTCAAGACTCTCTTGGTACATATCTTACTTCAGCAAAACAGCTCAGACTAATTCCAGACATGCCGGAATTAACCCTCATGGAACAGAGGCTTTTCTTCAATAAAAGCGTGAATGAAAATATTAACTGAAACTGAATAGGCATGCATGGCTTACCTTCAAATCTCGGTGAACAGGCATTTGCGCTGGAGACCATTAAATGGGAATCTGGGGAATTTCATCATCTCAGGTACCGAGATTCTCCACAGAAAGTTTGTGGTGCGGAGAAGCCGGAAGTGGCCTGACTTCCTGCTGGGCCACCTCTCGCGAGACTGTGGGAAGGCAGCCGCGAGATATCCCGCGTGGCTCTAGACCCCGGGCGGCAGCAACGCCGCCAGGCTCAGAGCCCTCCCGCCCCTTGACTGCGCTTTTCCTCCTTCACCTTCAACGGCCTTACGTGGACAGCTGCTGGAAATCTTTCAGTTGTTGCTTCTGACACTGAATTGAGTGAAGGGTTTTCAGTGGTTCACACCTGGGATAGCCCCAAATGTTACCAACGAACAAAGGAGTCATTGAATGCAGCGGTTTTCAGGGAGACTGCCTTACCCTGGCAAAGATTATTGAGGCAAGACTAAAGATGTTTAAGTATTACAATATTAAGGCCGGAATTATAGGGCCACTGCTGCAAGGCCTTCTACAATCCTCTATTCAAGGTGTTTCTTTCCATACTGCGTTTGCAACATCATCAGGGTGAAGAAGTAAAGGGTGCGGTGTACAGCTTTGATCCAGTGGAGTCTGTTGGTTTGCAACCCTGGTAATTCTCCGGAGTGAATTCAAAACTGGCCCGTGTATATGAGAGGGCAAGGAGAGACTGAAGATTGGTAGGTGTCAGTTTTAATAATCAAGAGGAAATTTTCAACCTTAAATGTTTGTGGGCTCTGCTTCTGGACTCCTAAGGAAGCTATACTTCAATATCTATCAAAGTGAGAATGACTGGCAAAACCTCAAAGCACGGGCTCCAGTTCTGCCCCAAGTACATACCTGTTAAAATAAATAACCAAAAAGCATTTTTTTTTTAAGATTTTTAAATTTAGGGGTGCCTGGGTGGCTCAGTCCTTGAGCGTCTGCCTTCGGCTCAGGTCATGATCCCAGCATCGTGGGATTGAGCCGCGCATCGGGCTCCCTGCTCAGCGGGAAGCCTGCTTCTCCCTCTCCCACTCCCCCTGCTTGTGTTCCCTCTCTCGCTGTGTCTCTCTCTGTCAAATAAATAAATAAAATCTTTAAAAAAAAAATTTTTTTTTTAATTTATTTGGCAAGGGAGAGGGAAAGAGAGTTGGGGGGTGCAGAGGAGAGGGAGAGAAGCAGACTCCCTGCCGAGCACAGACTTCCAGGTAGGGCTCCATCTCAGGACCCTGAGATCATGACCTGAGCAGAAATGAAGAGTCCACCTTTTAACAGATGGCACCACCTAGACACCCGGACAAAGGAGCATTCTGAACACATGATAAGAGAAAGAAACTTCCCTGGTTCTCATAAGAAAAGTCATAAGCCTTGCATATACTAAAAACATAAGAGAAAGACATCAGTTTTCTGGAATGTCCTCCAGCATGATGGTTTGTAACTCTTTATATAAAAAACATATATAACCCTACATCAAATGTTCCTTTTCTGGAGCACTCTCTTCTTGGTGAAGATTGTATATACCAGGCAGCTGTCCTAACTTGGGCTCAAACAAAACTCTTTTCCTTTCTCTTTAAATTTTTAAATTTTTTAAATTTTTTATTTGTTAAAGATTTTATTTATTTTAATTGTCAGAGAGAGAAAGAGCACAAGCAGGGGGAGCGGCAGGCAGAAGGAGAAGCAGGCTCCCTGCTGAGCAGGGAGCCCGATGTGGGACTCGATCCCAGGACCCTGGGATCATGACCTGAGCCGAAGGCAGACGCTTAACTGACTGAGCCACCCAGGCACCCATCTCTTTAAAAGATTTGTTCATTTTGTGTCGACAAAAAATTTACAAACCAGGCTTGTCTTGGGTGGTGGCAAGAGGAATAGCTCTCAGTATCTGCCTGCCAAAATCTTAAGAGTTTAGGGGTCTTAACAGGGTTCAGGCACATATATAGTTGAGACGGTCTCAGTACCACAGTACTCTTAAGGCTGCAACCAGAAATATTTCCTAATGTGGGAAGAGGGCAGAACATACATTCCAAGAATAGGGGAAGAAATAAAGATCTTCTGATTACTGGGTCCAGCCTGGGGGTCAACCAGCTGTCACACCCTCTTGATGACCTCCTCCAATACTCCACCCCTCTTGACCAGCTCTTACAATCTGACATGTCCCACCACCTTCGACAATGTACCCTGGGCAGTCAGCTGGTTTGTTAGCATGAGGTAGTTCATTTGACAACTATCTAGATGCACCCTAGGCAGATACCACAGCAACAATTTAAGCACATGCAAGAGAAAATACAGATTGGGGCTCCTGGGTGGTTCAGATGGTTAAGCATCTGCCTTCAGCTCAGGTCATGATCCCAGGGTCCTGGAATCGAGCCCTGCATAGGGCTCCCTGCTTGGCGAGGAGCCTGCTTCTCCCTCTCCTTCTGCTCCCCCTGCTTGTGCTCTCTCGCTCGCTCTGTCAAATAAATAAATAAAATTCTAAAAAGAGAGAGAAAATACAGATTAAGATAATGATCCCCAAAATAAGTACCAATATTTTCTTCTCATCAAGAGCCCCATGACCCAAACCACTGATTTATCAAGTCCCATAGGCTGGGGTCAAATCATTCAGAATATGCATTTGTGTCCTTGTGATCTAATAAAGATGATACAACATTAGGACATCATAAATTAATAGTTGGCCAAGCTAAAGTGGTTGTTAGCAATTTAATCTGATACTTTAATATTTCATTCTTTCTTTCTACAAATCCTCCTGCTTATGTGTTATATGGGAGATGGAACCTCAATTCAATGTCATGTTCTTTTGCCCACTCTTGCATATCATAACCTTTGAAATGTGATCCCTATCACTACTCAACAAGGGTACTTGTAGTTGGTACTCAGCTTCTCCAAGCCCCTAATGGTGTCAGCCTGGTTTGTATGGCAATAGGAGAAGCTTGGGTTAGGTCAGACACGTGTCCACACAAATCAAGGCATACTTAGAACCTCACTAGGAAGGTGGGGGCCAATACAATCAATTTGCCAATTCCTCCCATGAATGGCCTCAGAATCCTTTGGCAGTTACCTTGGGCATTGTTTAGAATACACAGGTCATGATCTTACATTAACCAAGTCACTGTATTTTAAGGGCAATCTGGCATCCTTGGCAATATGCCATCCCTCTCAGGCACTATAGTGGTCACTCTGTGCACCCAATTTGCTGTATCTCCTGAAAGGTCAGTTGCTAGGACTGGTACCTGACCTAGGGTATCTGCTTCCTGATTTCCAGGGAGTGTTGGCACTTTATGCGCCAAGAAATGGAATGAGGACAGCTTCACACTGTTCTCTTGCAAGAGAACCCAAATATTTTTCCACACATTCTGATCCCACAAGGGCTTATTTGTGATCATCCACACATCAACTTCCCATT